AGGGGACGCGGACACCAAAAGGGAAAACAGAAAAGGACATGATCTATAAAGGAGAATCAACACACAGAGTAGGGCAAAGAGATATGGATAATTACGAACTGATCTGTAGCAAGTTCTCATAGATATGACTGCAAATTTCTTAAGATCAAAAACTATTTTCATGGCCGATCCCATATATCTCCCCCCCTTCCCAGACATTTCCATCCTTCTTTGTGAAATATCAACTGGGTTTTTCCAACCAAATGAAGATTCCAACTTGTATGCGTCGTCGACAGGAAGCTTATCAACAATTGGACCCATCAACCTTTCGAGTTCATTCATCTGAAAAGAGAACACTATAATTAAACCTCATGAATTATTATCAGAAAAATAAATATATTACCTGACATTCCTGTTGAAATCACTTTTAGGCTTATGCCACATTGCACCCAATACCAAGTTGGGAAAATAAGAGAGGATCCAAATTTTCTCGTTCTATTAAAATATTTTAACAAATTAAACTTGCAACCTCACCTTGGCCTGCCGTTCATCAGGGGACAAATCCTTTTCTGTCGCATCACCTCTCGACTTTCTAGCAGACATCTTTCAGAATTCAAGAGAGTTGAACAGAACTAATTACTTTAGTAGATACAGATTAACCGTTTGGATGCTTTCCAGATGATCTTGAACAAGAAACGATATAATTGTTAGGTGCTTCACCATATGGTCTGATAATCTTTGGACGCTCGGACTAAATGAGGCGCACGATCATTCATTATTCACCTTCAAAAGAAATCGACTAGCTCAATCAAAGCGACACATTACAGGTCAACCATTTCTCGTCACCTAATTAGTTTATCTTCTTTTGGCATTGCCTACATTTGCTACAGTTATTACGACGCATTCAAAGAGAAACCAACCAAACATAGAAAGCTACAACCAAATTGCAAAGCTGAAGCCATGGCCAAACAACATAAACTTCTTTATGGTTGTAATTTATCTCATAATCCAACTCCCCTAGAATTGTAAATTTCAGGCATTCTCATAAATTAAAAAAAAAAAAAAAAAACAGATTGAAAAACAGAGAAATCATCACGAGATGCAATCGCACGATTCAGAGAATATAAATTAAGAACAGAACAAAGATAACAATCGGAAAACAATGAATGTCTACCTCGCCTTTCAAATCGTATCGAAACAACCCTCCTACGATCGACCGCAATAAAATCAAATCAAAGGAGGGGATTGAACGAACTCCAAATCCAGCAAACAGGCAACGAAGCGAGCACAGCGAGAAACTCGAGGATTGCTCGCCATTTTTCCCGAGCTTGATACCGCGCTTGATCGGATCAAAATTTTACTATTTCAGAGAAAGATCGGGAGAGAGATAGAAATTGTATTTGCCAGATTACGCGAAAAACACAAAATTAACAAAGTGACACAAACACCAATACTTCAAGAACTAGAAAAACAAATACACAAAACCAAACTAAAAACCAGTATAACAAACAAGGAAACCCCCAATTCTGAAATCAAACGAAAAACTACGATCAACCCAATACCTAAAACGAGGAATCGAAGAAACAAACCGAAATTTAACGCTGCCAAACCGGATTCTGAATATGGGCAATTTGCGTATGAATAAAAAAAAAAAAAAAAAAAGAACAGATTAGAGAGAGAAATGTAGGTGAGATTAGGAAGAACAGAGACAAGATAACAGTTGGGGAAGAAAGAATTGTGGGATGGGAATCATGCGTTCAATGTGGAATGTGCTATGGCTATGGCTATGGCCCTCTGCTTTTGCCGCTTTTTCTTTCGAGGGGATTTGTCAGCAATGCCAACTCCTCCGTCAGATTACAAAAAGAGAGACAAATGATATCATTTGTATATTTGGCACTTTCTTCTTCTATCCATTGTTCATTGTTTATTATATGATCCAAACGGAATCAATACAATATATTTTAATGAAGATATGAAGAAAATGTTGTTGAAATTATATTTCAATTCATGTCACGTTGAAGAAGAATAAAGTTTCATTGTTATAAATTTTGGATGAATTACAATTTAAAGTTATTCTATTTCATTAATATATTTTAAGATTTTTTATTTACTTTAGGTTACAATTACCTAATGTTATGACTCTTGGAATGTCTCTAATAGTTTTATTTTTAGGCTATATAAAATCATGTATGTTGTATTTGTAAGTAGACTTGAAAAATATAATAAAATGAGCATTTGTGATTTCTTTAGTCAATGACTAAGTTTCTTTGCAATTCTATGTAGTTTAAGTTACATGTAGCATCATTCAAGCTCGACATGATCAATCTTGCTTGTGGAGTGATTCGAATCTCAAATAAGTGTTCTTGCCTTAAGATATTTGATCAACAAGAATCATTCAAGTTAGACATGATTGATTTTGCTTGTGGAATGATTCGAATCTCAAACAATATTCTTGCTTTGAGATATTCGATCAACAAAGTAATCCAAATCTTACTCCCCCTTGTAGTGATTTCCACTTATCAAGATCTTTCTCCTTCATCCCGAGGTTCTGGGTGGCTCTTTAGGTCTCAAGGGCAGTTAGCCGGCTTTGATAGGGACTCTAGTTTCCAATTTCGCAGTTCCTGACTCCTCGAGTTTGTCATGATCCAGGGCTAAAGGGTCTCACCCTCTAATTCTCCCTCACGATTCCATTGAATGCAACATCTAAAGGGTCGTCTATCTGGACCTAACCCAATCACTATTTATGCACACCCTAAGTTTAGATCAACCCTAACGATTATTATTTATAGGAAAAGTTCACCCAATCATTCACCTGGAGTTAACATACATCTAACCATGTATACAGTCACAGAAGCTCAACGGGGCGATAACATTCATCAAGCACTCGAAGCGTAGATGCACAAATATCTCATCCACCGACATACCATGATTACGAACAAGTAGTAAAGTATTCAGGAAGGCATACAAAATCTAGGCATAAAGTTCCATCAATTAGCAAGTCCATTAACCCCATAAGCATAAGATATCCCGAGTCTAGCCCACCTAGGATTAAGTTTTGCTAGCTTGGCATCACCAAGCGCATCCTACGAGTATTACTTCTTAATTCTGTGTGGTTACTTACAGGATTGTCGCGTGCCTTCCCAAGTGCAGTTTACTTGCCGAAAAAAGTCAACAAAATCTTCGGAAAACCCTTGGAGAAACCTATTTCAAATAAAAATAGGGTTATTATTGAAATCGGGACGAAAAACAGGTAAACGGGAGGTCAAAAATCGGGATGGTTGTATGCATGATCGATTATACATTAACTCTAGGTAAATGTGTAATTCCCCTTAGAGGGGAATAGTAGTAGAACAACCTAAGACTAGTGTGCATGAGTTAGTTTGGCTAGTTTACGATCTATAATGGCACGTCTCCTTAAGTCGAGCATTATGGAATCGTGAGAGACGATTAGAGGGTGGGACCTCGTGCTCCTAAACAATTCAGACTCAAAAAGTATGAATCGAATACTTTGGAGATGTTGAACTTCGTCAAGACCACCGAACCACTCTAGAGATCTAAATGACCACCACAATGAACCTGGAGGAGATAAAGGTAGCGTGTAGGTCGGTAGCAGTTGGTTGGTGTAGTGTCCGTGGAGCTTCCACTTCCTTTTCAACTCCAGTATTGTACCATTGTGCTAGGCATGAGACCAGTTAGGGAATGTGTGACCAAAATGTGCGAGTTTGGTTGCGCTACTCCACACGGAGGATCCAACCTATGGGAGGGCGTTCATCATGTGGGTAGTTACCAAAGCTGATACATACAAGGGGTAGTGCCTTCGACCTTGTGGGACTCCATGACATATGAGATGGGCTCGCCAATTACCTCTCATGGATGATGAGCAGACTAGCACTCACAATGTTATCCTCACTTGATTGTAAGAGTGTTCTTTGAGGTAGCACCTCAACTCCAGACACTGGACACCCCGATGCATAGGCTCACTAATTACCTAAGGTTGTGCATAGTAAGAATGACATGTCTAGGTCCTAGTGATAGCCTCTGGTCACCGGTTAGATCAATGATGTGATGAGTTCCTATAGTTACTTACTGGATATATTTATATACTCGTTCCTTTTTGTATTTTCATTTCCAGGTGCATGACAGGACTATTCAAGGCAAGGTGGTGCTTGGGAGCTCAATAGTCATAGAGGGATGTCGACCCAGAGTATTTGTCTAGCCTACATACGCTGTAGTCATCATTTCAAATAAAATATATGTTATTAACATACCATATTATATTTTAAACCAAAGTTAAGTAGAGATATACTAAGGTTCGGTTCAGTATAGTTGGGTTAGGTTGGGTTGGGTTGAGTTGTATTTTTTTTTTTTTTTTTGTTTGAACCTATATAAAATTTTGGGTTGGTGCCCGAACAACCAGAATAGAGTTCTTAACCCAATCCAACTCAACCCTCTGTTTTCAAATTGGGTTGTCGGGTTGTTTTTTTAGTTATATTAAAAAACCATATTTATCCACAGTGCTACATTAATAACTAAAATCTCATATAGTTTAAATATCAAATATTTACCAGTCACACGACATCACTAATGTCAATTAAAAACATTAAATATTTCTCTTTAAAAGTAAGGTAAGGTAGAGTTTGATTGTAATCATATTTTTTCAGATGGGTCGGATTGACTTGATAAAAAAAATGTCAACTCACGAACCAAATCATGTAAACAAAAATAGTTAGAATTGATCAAATTATCAAGTCATATGTATTCAGTCGATATGGAACAGGTAGGATGATGTTCGACGGTCAAAACAACTCCACTAGATTATATATAATATATTATAAAAATGGTATTTATTTTATTCAAAACTTTAAAGCAAAACAAAAAACAATTTTTTGTTTAATTATTATTTAAGAAACTGAAAACAACAAACAGTTAGTGGGGATTGGATTTTAGTCTTTTTATATTAAACGGTTAGCGCGATGCAAAATTTTCCATATAAATAGCACTGTCTCTCGCCGGTTCAACTTTTTTCCATTTTTCCCGGCGCCAATTTTCCGATCTCTCCCTCGCTCTCTCTGAAATAACAGACCCTTGCTCCAGTCAAGTTCGGGAGAAATGGCGAACAATCCTTGAGTTTCTTTCTCGCTTTGATCGCTACGGTGCCTATTTGCTGGACTTGGCGTTCGTCCGATCCCCTCCTTTGATTAGATTTTCTTGCGCTCGATCGAAGGAGGATTGTGTCGACACGATTTGAAAGGCGTGGTAGGCTTTCGTTGTTTTCTGATTGTTGTCTTTGTTCTGTTCTTCATTTATATCCTCCGAATCGTACGATTACATCTTGTGGTGATCTCTCTGGTTTTGAATCTGTTTTTTTTATATATATTTTTAAGAACGCCTGAAATTTAGAATACGACGGGAAGATAAATTGCAACCGTAAAAAAATATATGCTGTTTGGCCACTTCTTCAGCATTGGAATTTGGCTGGAGATTTCTATGTTTTGTTGATTTCTCTTTGAATTCGTCGTAACAACTATAACAAATGTAAGCAATGCAAAGAGAAGATTAGTGACCTATGATGCATCGCTTTGATAGAGCTAGGCCATTTCTTTTGATGGTGAATAATGTATAATCTTGCGCCTCATTTGGTCCGAGCGACTAAAGATTACCAGACCATGGGGTGAAGCATCTGATAGCTATAACTTTTCTGGTTCAAGATCATCTGGAGAGCATCCAAACGGTTAATATGTATCTACTAAAGTAATTATTTGTGTTCAACTCTCTTGGATTCTGACAGATGTCCGCTAGAAAGTCGAGAGGTAACGGGAGCGAGAAGGTTTTGTCCTCTGAAGAACAGCAGGCCAAGGTGAGGTTGCAAGTTTAATTTGTTCAAAAAAATTAATAGAGCAAGAAATTTGGTTCCTCTCTTATTTTCCAAATTTGGTACTGTGTGCAATGTGCCACTAGCCTGAAAGTGATTTCAACAGGAAATGTCACATAATATATATAGTTTTCTGATAATAATTCATGGGGTTTAGTTATGGTGTTCCCTTTTTTCAGATAAATGAAGTAAAAAAGTTGATGGGTCCATTAACTGAAAAGCTTCCTGTTTTATGCTCGGATGCATCTATTTTGAGGTACCTCAAGGCAAGAAACTGGAATACAAAGAAGGCCAATAAAATGTTGAGGGAAACTTTGAAATGGAAGCTAGAATACAAGCCAGAGAAGATAAGTTGGGTATGGATTTCTGCGAACTTCACCATTTTAATCTCTCTGAAAAATGGAAAATGGAATATGGAAAATGAGAATCTAATTACTGAACTGAGGGCGAAGAGAATACATTAATTTCTACAATGGGTTCAGCCTGTTGAAGATAGAGTTCAATCAAATGGAGGATGCTAACAATCATTGAGAATGGCATTGGAAACTTAAAAAAGAAAACCTCCTTTTCTTCATTATGATTTTGATTCTATTTGAAGCATTTTCATTTTATTGAGAATATAGTTAGCTGATTGAAGGCATGGGGGATTTCATAGTGGTATGCACCAGAAGACGAGAGCGGTCACAATCCTTGCTAACTTTAAAATGTAGACATTCACTGCTTAAAATGAATGCTTAGCTTGCTCGAAATTATGACCATATTGATCTTGACGCTGGATTCTACTTGTATGCGACTAAACAATAATGTCTTCTTTGTGCTTCAAGGAAGATATTGCTCTGGAAGCCAAGACAGGAAAAATATACAGAGCTAATTACACTGACAAACAAGGAAGGACCGTTCTTGTAATGAGACCAAGTAGTCAGGTATTTCAATTGCACGATTACCACATTCTTTGAGTTGTTGTTACTTGCCTCTCATTTATTTTTAAAAAAATAGATCATACTAAACATATTTAATAAAACGCTGATGTGAATCTTATTAATAGGTTGAATAAATTTTAAGTTCGGATAATCAACTCATTTTAGCTTTAAAAAGGTTCTAATAGGTGTCTGAACTTATAGGAAAGATTTTAATAGGTTATTGAACTTTCATGTCAGATATCATAAGCTTTATTAGTTATGCAAATATCTAGGCTTGCTTGAAATTAGCCAAGTGGGAATAACATATTGACATAACTTGGAATTCAACCTATCAATGTTATCTAATAAAAATACAGAGTGACAAAGAATGAGTGAGAACTCTTCTTTTACACTAGTTTCGATCCTGGAACTTGTGTTCGGTTTTTTTTACCCCCTTACGTAACTACTCGTGGCTAAAGTAAAATTAACTTTTCTTATAACAACGCCAGAATACAGAATCAACGACTGGACAAATCAGATATTTGGTTTACTGCATGGAGAATGCGATCTTGAATACAAATTCAACAGATGGATACATGGTATGGTTAATAGATTTTCATGGCTGGAACACATCTTGTCTATCCTTGAAGGTTACTCGAGATACAGCGAACATCCTGCAAAATCATTATCCTGAAAGATTGGGCCTTGCTATTCTCTACAACCCACCCAAGGTGTTTGAGTCCTTTTGGGTGGTAAGCTTTCACATCATTTCCATATTTTGTTGCATTATTGTCTTCACATTTATTGCTTTCCATTATTTGTTTGCGTCTAATCCTTATCTATATCCTTCTACTTCTACAATGTCATGGTGATTAATTAGCATCTTTTTCCTCCGTGCAATTGAATTAAAGTTTCAAAACTTTCTACTTCACCTATAATCTTGTATTTTTGTCCAATGATTTACTTTGCTCCTATTATTTCACAAGTTTCCTAACAATCCATCAGAGATTTGATTAAAATTTCCTCAAAATTTCCTCATGCTTCTAATGAATAAGTGGAAATATTACCGAGAAGGAAAGGGTAGGTTTTGTTGATTAAGATCTTGGTTGATAACTGTTTTGTTTTTGATTTTACGCTTTTGACAATTGTGCCTGTTTTCTCTCCATTTTTTTTTTTTTTTTTTTCCTGAAGTCACAAAAATGTCTTTTTTTTGTTGTGTTCATAAGCGAAAAAGGTGTAGTTTCTAAGATTTGGGTGTGCTTTTTTGATATGTATTGGTTGAGATATAATAATGCAGATGGTAAGACCATTCCTGGAGTCGAAGACATTCAAGAAAGTGAAGTTTGTATACTCCAACAACCCAGAGAGCCAAAAGATAATGGAAGACAACTTCAACGTGGAGGAGTTGGAAACTTCCTTTGGTGGGAAGAACCCAGTTGGGTTTAACTACGAAGATTATGCACGAAGAATGGTCGAAGGCGACAAGAAAAAGACTGAGTTTGTTGACTCTGGATTCTCTTCCCCAACTTCTAAATCCATTTTATCCAAATCTCAGCTCCCGGACTCGGCAGTTTCCGACGTCATACAGGATTCCGACGACGAAAGCGACAACGAAATGCAGCCTTCAAATTTGGCGCTTCCAGATGACAAACTACAAGAGAAGAAGTAAGCTGCTTATTGCATCACTGCCTGCTCATTAACCTACAAACAATAAATCAGCGGTCAGTTTGTTCTTTCTTTTCCTCTTTTTTTTCATTTAAAGTTTCATGAACAATCTCTCTTGCCATTCCTTCTTGGGTTGAAGTTGTATTATTTTTCAAATTTGGATATTACATGGAACACAACGTTTATAATATAAATATTATACTTGAATAATCCTTGAAGTTTATGCCTTAGTTCGGTTTCTTAGAATTTTAGTAGTTTCTACCCGAAATACTAGATATGATAAATAACAAAAAATGTTATCATAAGCGTGTTATAGTGTTTTTTTTCGTTATTATAAGTCTGAAACATTTTAGAGTATAGAGTATTTTTTATAGTTATAATAGAGTATGGAGTTATAACTCGTATTAAGACTGTAATAAGTAAATATAGCTAAAATAATGTGTTATATTTGTATTAGTGTAAGTTATTATATTTATAAATATCCTAAAGAATAATAATTAGAAAATCTACTACAAAGATGTAATATTCACTATAAATGTATAGTTTTGATTTTATATAATATAATATTTATAGTTTAGTCTATTGTTAAGGTTTAATGAATTCTTTTAGAGAGATCAAATGTTTTCATAAACTACGAATATTAAGTTGTTATATCATAAAATTACTTTTATAGAGCGATAGAGACTAACTTGTTACATAAATTTTGAAGTAGGTATGCAAACTAATGTCTATGAACTACAACGTTGTTATGGAATCAATCAAAAGGAAAGTTTTGGAACGGATTATTTTGATGAAAACCTGTTTCTAAACTCGTGACTCGAATCACTTTCCAAGAGATTTGATCAATTTCACTCGATGATTCTTGCAACTTGGTTTAGTTCTCAACCAATCTAAAATAGAAATTTTGTTATTTTCAATTCCAAAATGTGATGTCTATGATTAAAGAAAAGAAAACTTTATATAGCTTTTGACAACGTTTAGCTCATATGAGTTAAATACACACATAATATCAATATTAAAATGACTAGTTAACGATGAAATATGGTCATGCATGTGGTTACAATATAATAACTTTTCTATTAAAAACGCGCTAAAATGACAAACAAATATTAAAATTATAACTAAAATAATGTTATAAAAGGAATGTGTTATCGAGTAACCATTTTTGGACTTGTTCCATAAATTAGCAAATTAGAGTTCATTTAATGCATATTTATTTTTTAGCTCAACTTTACACAACATGTAGGGAAGAACTCTAACATCTTCTAGAATTTTCCTCGGCGAGTTCATCATAGCTTGAATATAAGTGAATCAAGATTGTTGTAACTTCTTGACTTTCATACTTATAATTGAATCTTGAGATATGAAAATTCCTTAATCGTAGTTCATATCAAACTTGTAATTTAGTGAATAATTCCACAATCCATCGACTAACTCTGTCCGACATGCCATTGTAAAGCTTTTAACACCCAAAAAGATGTCTGGAGGGAAACTTAGAGAGTGAGTTGTACATTGTAATTTAAAGTACGAATGGATGTTTATTACTATCTAACTAGTAGGACAGAAGAATACAGCAACGACCTTTAAAATGGTAATTAATGAGTTTATCAACTTAGCTATATTCAAATTGTCGTACGGAAGGAATATAAAGAAATTAGAACGTGGAAAAATGTTGAACACAACACGTTGCAAGAAATACTTATGTTTTTTTTTTATTTATTAAAACCTATAAAAAGAGATTAGAAAACTTTGTAGAATACTACTCTACTTTTCTTTACTTGAAATTGCTCGAAATCTTTAGTTACGAAAACTTTAGTTGTGATGTCCCACATTGGTTTGGGGAGGAGAACAAACCACCATTTACAAGGGTGTGAAAACCTTTCCCTAGAAGATGCTCGGAAGAGAAAGTCCAAAGAAGACAATATTTGTTAGCAGTGGATCTGGATCGTTACAAATGGTATCAGAGCCAGACTACGGACGATATGTCAGCCTTCTCGCTATTCCTTGAAGGGGGGTAGATATGAGGCAGTGTGCCAGTAAGGACGCCGAGCCCCAAAGGGGGGTGGATTTGGAGGAGGTCCCACATCGATTGGAGGAAGGAAAGAGTGCCAGCGAGGACGTTGGGCCCCGGGGGGGATGGATTGTGATGTCCCACATTGGTTGGGAATGAGAACAAACCACCATTTATAATGATTTCCACATCGTTTATAAGGCTTTTTAAAACGCGTTTGCTTGGGGAAGGTTTCTACACCCCTTATAAATGGTGGTTTGTTCTCCTCCCCAACCAATGTGGGACATCACCCAGGACAGTGTCTTATAAATGGTGGTTTGTTCTCCTCTCCAACCAATGTGGGAGATCACCCAAGACAGTATCTTATAAATAGTGGTTTGTTCTCCTCCCTAACCAATGTGGGATATCACCCAGGACAGTGTAGGTTTAAGAATAGGGTATGTTTCAACTGTCACCAAGGCCACGTTGTCGTGCATTGCACCCAAGAGAGAGAGCAACTAGTACCAATAGACCCCCTAGTAACCAACCGACCTCAAACCCAAGGCCAGCTCCGCAATAGGGGCAAATGTATGATACCACTTGCTAGGAGGCAGAAACTCCAACACTGCAATCACAGGTACGCTCTCTATTCTTGGGTACTACGCATGGATCTTATTTGATTATGGGTCAACCCACTCTTTGTACTACGCATGGGTCTTATTTGATTATGGGTCAACCCACTCTTTTATCTCCACTAACCTTGTAAAACACGCAAGAGTAGAAGTTGAACCGCTAGGGCACGGGTTGTCTGTGGGTACCCCGGCAGGGGTAAGTACGGAAGCCTTCGAGAGGGTAAAGGATTGTTAGTTGTGTGTGTCAAACCACACGATAGATGTGACGCTGATAATCTTAGATATGACCAATTTTGACGCATCTTAGGGATGAAGTGATTAGTTAAAAACCATGCATCCATTGATTTCTTCAACAAGGAGGTTGTGTTCAGACCTCCTGGTCAGCCAAGCTTCAAATCCAAGGGGACTAGGGTGGGAACGGTCTCGAGGATAGTCTTAGCATTAAAGGCAAGGAAGATGTTATCACAAGGTGCTTGAGGGATATTAGCTCATGTGGTGGAATTAGGGCGAACCGAGGCGAGCATTAACTCAGTGCCAGTAGTGAGAGAATTTGGCGATGTGTTCCCAGAAGATCTCCCAAGCCTACCCCCGGAGCATGAGGTGGAATTTGAAATTGTACTTGAGCCAGGAACAACCCCTATATCAAGAGCCCCGTACAGAATGTCCCCTGCTAAATTGAAAGAACTAAAGTTGCAGCTTTAAGAGCTACTAAACAAAAGCTTTATACGAGCAAGTGTGTCTTCTTGGGGAGCCCCAGTGATATTTGTGAAGAAGAAGGACGGCTCTACGTGCTTATGCATGGACTATCAGGAACTTAACAAAGTGATAATTAAAAACAAGTATCCTTTACCCCGCATCGACGACCTGTTCGATCAGTTGCAAGGAGCAATTGTGTTCTCAAAGATTGACTTACGGTCAGGCTACCATCAGTTGAGGATTAAGAAGAGTGATATCTCAAAGACAGCCTTTCGCATAAGGTATGGACATTACGAGTTTAGGGTAATGTCGTTTGGCTTGACCAACGCTCCAGCAGCATTTATGGGGTTGATGAACAAAGTGTCAGAGAATTCTTAGACAACTTCGAGATCATCTTCATCGATGATATCCTTATGTATTCCAAGACTAGGGAACAACACGAGGAACATCTCAGGAAGGTGTTGACCACTCTAAGAACGAACAAGTTGTTTGCAAAGTTCTCTAAGTGTGAATTCTGGGCAGAACAGGTGGGATTTCTTGGGCATGTAGTTTCACGAATAAGAATCACCGTAGACCCAATAAAGATTGAAGCGTTGACGAATTGGCCTCGCCTGACCACAGTGATTGAGGTACGAAGTTTCCTTGGTCTAGTAGGGTATTATCGGCGGTTTGTGCAGGATTTCTCCAAGATCGCCACCCCCCTCACTAAGTTGACCAAGAAAGGAAAGTCGTTCACCTAGAATGATCCGTGCGAGGATAGTTGTCAGGAACTTAAACAGAGGTTAGACACAACCCCAATACTTACTGTGCCGTTAGGAGATGGAGGCTTTATAGTATACAGTGATGCTTCAAAAAGGTGGTTAGGGTGTGTCCTCATGCAACATGGGAAGGTTATTGCCTATGTTTCGCGTCAACTAAAAGAATACGAGCAAAACTATCCCACCCACGACCTAGAACTCGCAGCAGTGGTATTTGCACTAAAGAGTCTTAAATACTTCTTTACTCAAAAGGAGTTAAACATGAGACAACGCAGGTGGTTGGAGTTGGTTAAAGACTATGACTTGGAGATACTCTATCACCCGGAAAGGCGAATGTGGTAGCTGATGCGTTGAGCTGAAAATCAGCACACACGTATGCTTTAAACACCACACAAAAAGCGATCCAGTAGGATCTAGAACGCACCGGTCTAGCGGTGACCGTGGGGGAGGTCGCGCTCAATTGGCCTAGTTAACGATACAACCGACCTTGAGGCAACGTCTTATTGATAAACAACATGGTGATCTAGATTTTGTTGGAAAAAGACGTTTGATAGATGTCAAGCAGACAGAGGAGTTTTCATTGACAGCTGATGGGGGCTCTTATACCATGGGCGGTTGTGTGTGCCAAATGAAGAACTGAAGGTAGAAATCCTAACCGAGGCTCACCACTCGCCATTCGCCCTACATCCTGGCAGTACCAAGATGTATTAGGATTTGAAACGACAATATTGGTGGCGGAGTATGAAATGTGATGTGGCCGAGTTTGTGAGCAAGTGTCTGGTTTGTCAACAAGTCAGCCCCAAGGCAGAAGCCGACAGGGCTATTACAACCACTTAGCATACCTGAATGGAAGTGGGAGAACATCGTCATGGACTTTATTGTGGGATTACCAAGGACGGCTAGAGGCTACATAATTATATGGGTTGTGGTTGATAGGCTCACAAAGTCAACTCACTTCCTGCCAGGGAAGTCCACTTATTCCGTGGATAAATGAGCTTAGTTGTACTTGAAGGAAGTAACAAGATTGCATGAGGTACCGGTATCCATTGTGTCAGATAGGGATACTCGTCTCACATCAAAGTTTTGGAAAAGCCTTCAGAAAGCGTTGGGTACACGACTAGAGTTTAGTACAGCATTC